GTATATTTGTAGTACACGTGATTATCGGAAAATTTCAGGGCAGATCTGCCCTGAATTTCAAACGGTTTAAGAGATAATACAAATAATATTATATAATAAATCATATATTTGATATTAATTAATAAGTTGTGCTATATAAGTTTTTACAAATTTACACTTTTGCTACTATAAAGTTAATATATTTAAATTATATATTTAAATTATATTTTAAACTATTTTAAAATTATTAGAGCACTTTATATAGTGATTTTTAGTAGTACTATGCTATTAAAATTATTAAATAAAAAGCTTTACTAATAGCTTAGTTTTTTACTAGTTGCTATACTAGATATTAATACTTAAAAATATTAACTAAAACCAAATAGATATTATAAATTATTATATAAATAATCTAATATATTATTCTATCTATTACAAATCTTTATTTTTCTGAAGATATATTAACAGAAGAATTTCTATTTGTTATATATAACTTGTATATAATTGCTATGTAAACATTGACGGAAAATGTTTCATATTATGCTACAGGATTTTATACGTATTAAAATAGGTCCGGACCTGTCAAATGATTTTACAAAAAGCTGCAATAATAATGTTTACATAGTACATGTCGAATAAACTTTTGATCCCGTGCCGGAGGCATGGGTTGTACGCTAGTTTAATAAAATGCTGTCGTTATCTTCACACGTCGACCATTGGTGTTACGTTCGGGATTGGGAGAGCAATACTTATACGTGACAAATTAACTTCAAACGTAGTATATTATGCGGGATGAATGTTTATAAAGGATTCGGGTTTGATGGTATTTTATTATTAATGAGAATAATTGGTTTCAAAGTTTATTTATTATCCAACAAGATGATAGATATCCTCTTTATTAGTTTGAGAGACATTTGTTTGAGGGTTATTCGTTCTTGTTAAGGGTCTGTAACCATACCAAAAGTTAAAATTGCCTAAGCCTCGATTATAAATGCCCCGAGTTTTATCCAAATAAGAAATATATACAAAATAATAACGATAAAACCATGGTATTAACTAAATAATAACACTGGATCTGGCGGCTTAGTTCACACGTTCTTGGTCACGATTCTTGATCGGCCGAAGCGTATCTCCGTTACAACGTGCGTGTGTATCTGGTGGTTTAGGCCACACGTTCTTGGTCATGATCCTTGTTCGGCTGAAACGTATCTCCGTTACAACGTGCGTGTATATCTGATGGCTTAGGAACAGTTCTTGGTCACGGTCCTTGGTCACGATCCTTGATTGGCCAAAGCATATTTCCGTTACTACGTGTATGTACGTACGTACTTGTTTTATTTATTTTCTTGTATTACCTACGCAAATAAGAAATGCCACGTTTCCTAATGCTATCATCGCGATTCGTCGATTTAAACAATCAAAAAAAGACCATAAATAGCCAATCCCAAGCCATTTAATAATCGTAATAACCGAAAACAAAACAACCACTTTTTGTAACATTATTAAGATAAAAAAAAACTGGTTAAAAGTCGTAAATGTTATTTTAACTAATTTAAGATTTATTATGTGAGATTTATTAAATGTATTAACAAAATATATAATATTTAGTACGTGCGTGTAGTTAAAGAATTTAAATAATATATACAGAAAAACCTCCTTAAACATAAATGCATTACCTCATAAATGCTCTTTTAAACTCGGCCTGAACAATTATTCTTATTGTTCCCTAAATGCACATTGCCAAAGGTTTAGTCGGAACGGGACGCATTTAGGATGGTTTCTATATACGTATAATATTATATTATTTCTAAATATATATAAAATCTATTTTTTTTTTATATGTACGTAACATTAATAATAACTATGCTAAAAACTATTATATTACATATGATCATATGGCTGCTGTATTATAAAATATTAAATCTTGTTTATAGCCAGAGCGTATTAAGTTTAACTTGAAATAACACCTTAATATTCATGAAATATTACATAATTTGAGAACAACACGTAATCATTTTGAATAATTATTTTTAATGTTTTACTAGTTTTTAACCAGTAACTATACATTTTTATGTCTTACCTGTTTTTAGGTCATGGGACATTAATAAATTGTGTATTTAAAAAAAAAAACCGTCCCAAATAATCCAAAAGAAGGAATTTGAATTATTGGCCAGCATTCTTAAACTTAAAAACTTCTATTAATAAATATTACATACAGTATTAACTATAAACAAAGTTCACGTTTAATTCATTTAATTCATTTAATGCGTATTCACCGAGATGCATTTATCAAGATGTTATTTACCCAAAGAAAGTTGCAATTTACCGAGTCGCATTTATTAAGATGTTATTTACCCAAAGAAAGATGCAATTTACAGAACCATTTACTGGTTCAATAGGTTTAACAAAAGCTTATAGATAATCGCAAGTATGATCTGCTTGACTTTTGCAAATAAAAAATCCGATTATTAACATCAATAATACAAACTTTAATTATTTACAAAACAATAAAATCTTTGTCGAAAATTTATTAAAATCAGTACAACTTTTTAACAAATTATACGTGCTTTATTACATTTATTGACAAATAACTACGCCCTCATAACAAATCGGGAACATAACATAACTCTTGGCAAGATTTACGTATACAAAACCCTTTGTCAAAAGATATATATTTATTAATATATATATACAGCAATGACAAATAGGTCATCAAAAAAAAAAAAAATGTCGTTTGACTCTGATGTTGAGTTTTTGAACGATAACGTGAGAGCAAGGGTCTCACCTACTTCTAATACTCCAAGAGAAATATCAAACTACCTTATAAATAATAATATCGAACCTACACTAGAAACCGTAATCGAATGTATTATCAAGCTTCAAGCAGCACCGGCTAATAAGAATTTTTGCAACGCTGCTATCGTTAGGATAAGAGAACTATTACTACTTTCTATTGGTACTGGAGAAAGGAATGATTATGAAAATCTTGTTAGCCAAGTTCTTCATAACCTGACCCCACCTTCGGCTTCGCCGCAAATTTCAGTTTCTCCGCCCGCTTTTTCCGTGTCCGATGCAATGTTAGAAGGTTTTCTCTTTTATCCGCAAACGATGTCGCAAGAGTTTCAAGAATATAATAGTAACGTTACGCTGGACGTTGGGATTCCCCCAAATTATTAAAAGCACTTATTAGAAATTTGTAGATTTGTAAGCAAAAATTGCTTTTATATTTGTCGCGCAACATTGTAAAATATATATATATATACAATTTATAGAAACTTTGCGCAAAAACGAAAAAATTGACAGTTTTGTATTTATTATTTGTATTTAAAAAAATTAACAATTTTATATTTTAACTTTGTAAAAAGAAAAAATTTTTAGCATTAGTCTTTTTTTAGACTTTTTTGATGTAACTGTCAATCTAAATTTGTATAAAAATAAACTTTAAAAAATAAAATTTTCCAGAAATAAAATACAGTGTAATCTTACCATGTAACATTACCTTATGCTGTTACAAGAAAGAAGGTTCTTAAACACGATTTTACTTATTTGTGCGAGTAACACAAACAAAAAGCGGAAATCGAATTTTGTAAATAAGCTAAGTGCATAAAGATAGAAGTTTAGATTAGGTTGTTAACATTAGAAGCTATATCAATAGATTGTTGTCTATTGTATGTAAAATTTCGTTGTGACATTATTAATTAGTGCACTAGGGCCGATTTAAACACTAGTTTTGAGTATTTTCACTTTTTTTTATTCTTTCGGATGTGTTCGGGATTCATGTCGGGCTGACCCGGAATAGTCAAAATTTATCTCTCCGATTGCTATTTCCTTTTTATGGTTTGTATTACTCGCGCAAATATGTGTGCCTTAAACGCTTCGTGGTAATGTATACTGATTTAAAATTATTTTGTTTAATGATGTGTGGGAACATCAAACTGGTAAAAAGACCTGATTATTCGAGATTTTTCGATAATCAAATTCTTCTATATGTTAAATACGTTACGTACTCACGTACGTATGTGTCTACGTAAACGCCTGATACATTACGTGCGTGCGTACGTACGTACTTACGTAGTAGTATGTTTACGTATTTACGTATGTATGTACATACGTATGTATTACATACGTAGATTAATATGTTTACGTACTCAAGTACACACGTATGTACTGTACATACATGACGTGTTTGCGTACGTACGTACGTACATACTTACGTATGTAAGTACGCAAGTACGTTCAACACCTGTTTTACCAATGTAGTAATATGTATGGGTTTTTAACTTTTTGACTGACTTTTTTCATGTAGCAAAGACATCAATCAGGTATATACGTACGTACTGTACTCACACAGCACAACATATTGTGCCCCAGTCTTTTTCAAAAATGCCAAGATAAATTAAATACCACTCCGGTGGTGCTGTAAGGTACTATACTGGGTACTCTGAAGAGAGATCGATTATATAAGTTGATAGTACAGTCGGACCTCTCTAAGTGCATAACCTAGGGCCGATAAAAAATCTTGCATTTAGAGAGGTTTTGCATTTAGGGAGGTAAAAATCTATAAGAATCATATGTATTAGGGCCAAGACAAAGCCATGCATTTTGAGAGTCTATGCATTTAGGGAGGTTGCATTTAGGGAGGCCCGACTGTATAACTAGATCATTGATTTGGATCATGAACGTAATAAATTACTACTTGATTAATACCAGGATACTTTTCAAGAATTTACAATTGAATAGTACCCCGATACCATTTAAATACTAATTAAATGGGATACGGTATGCAGTGCTGTACAGTACGTGCAGTTAAAGTATGAAACATATTAGCTAAGAATATTTATAATGAGTTCTCAGTAGGAGGGTTTATCTTTATAGTAAATTATTTACGGAGATTGCCGATGTCTGTGATTTAAAGAAATTTATAATAAATATTTGGTTGATTATTTGAATATCAAGTTTTTAACAAGCTTGTGATAAAACCCTGCTTGAAATTCATAAATAGTAAATATATAACTTGGATTATATAATGCTTGATTTTTTTTCATAACGGTGATTACCGATATAATTGACCACATTCTCAACTAATTTGATGACAACTGAGAAATTGTTAACATCAATACATATATATTATTTGGTGCTGGTACACAGGAACCTGTACTAGAACTGGCAATCATTAGTTAGTGACAATAGAGATAAAATTATAAGAGGATTGTCGTAATATAAACTATATATGCTGTAAATATTTAATAAAGTACGCTATTGGTGTCTTGGGAATCTGGGATGCTATATATTGTTATTTGTACAAAAATATATGAAATTTATTATCATAATCCCCGATCACTATATCAAGATCATTGGAGGATTAGTTAATAATACCCTGACCGTATGTGGATAAGCGGAAACTTCGTTTCCGCTAATTCCTAACGGATCAGGATATTATTATTACTAACTTATGATAATACATATCGTGTTTTTAAAATACTATTTATGCATGTCGTGATGCGAAAATCATGTGATTTTTAAATTTTCGCCAAGCAAAATCTTGTATCGGGTACTGGTCCGCACTGTATGGTAACGAGGTTCATACAACTTAATTGTTATGGATTATTTTTTTGATAGTAACGTTAACTATTTTTTTGAGTTAGAATAATAGTGTAAAGATTAGTAAATATACTCTAATTTATGTGCTTGGTTTATATTATTATTATTATATATATATATATTACACTATATCTAATATCTAATATCTACATGGTTTTTATTCCAAATTCCAGCAGATATTTTAAGAATTTAGCAATATCATTTAAAGAAAAAAACATGCCCCAAAATTCGCTATATTACTTATTTCAAATGTTTATCGGATGCATTTTTGTTTGATAAATATTAAGACGGATCTACCAACTTGTGTACAGTATTATTAATTATAATAAAAACCGATTCTACATTCAAAGGTCGCGATCTTAAATACGGAGATGTGATCGAAAATACCGAAATGAGTCATGATTAATCATAAATTATTTATTCATGAAAAGTTGAGTTAAACAAAGTCTTTTGGTTGAGAAGAAAAACTTAAATTCAAGCTTGTCACGTGAGGATTATCCCAGTAGCCGAGTCTCAACGTATCACACGATCACGAAGACGTTCATTTGTTCTGAAATCGTTTATTCTCAAAATTTTAAAAGTTACAGAGTCCTTTTGTGCTTTACAAAAAAATTTCCTTGAAAATCTTTATACTCATCGTAAACATTAGTTAAAAATATTATCACGTGAAAGTAAAATTTTTTAATGGATATCATTGTGTAACATGTTAATGCTAAGGTATATTGGTTATACAAGAAATTTTTCATCGTATGACCAATACCTCATAATTAATTTGTATTGCTTGACGTTATATCCAGAAATTAAAGATATAAACCATATTAAGTTCAGACATTTTCACATAAATTTTCAAAATTACCAGAAACGTAAAAGATTCCATAAAGGTCTACAGTTATTTTACATCCATGTTTAATTTCGATTAAAAAAAGCATTTACAGAATATAGCTAGTATTGCTGATATAATAATAAAATTTTGAAAGAAATGTCTTATCAAAATGCAAAAAAAAAGGCTTTATAAATATACAGTATATTTAGTGTATTTTGAATTTTCATGATTTAACTTCCGAATAAATGTGTTAATTTCCCACATATGCACAAAATGTTGTACAGTATTTGCAAATCATTGAAGCATGTGTGATTCACATGAAAGTATAAAAAGGAAATTTATCGTAAGATTATTTCCACTGTCTTACATTGATTTATGTTTAGGTTTAAAATTTTGTAACAAGAATATTGGCAAGCCGAGCTCGGAAATGCAGTTATATAATAAGGAGTGCAGTACATACCTACAGATCAGGATGATTTGGGTGACCAAAATCGTACGACGTACGTTGAGAAAGTGTAAATTTGCTCTGTACTACAAAAATACGCTACAACACAATATTAATACCAACTAAACTACTCTAATTAAACCCTAATAGTGGTAAGGCTACGATCGAGGCGTGGAAGACTTGGTCCGAGTAACTAGGTTTTTAGAGCTCTAGACTACGTCACGAGTCTCTTAATACTAAATCACAGGATCTGGTCACTACTTCCTTTCGTTAATACAGATTTTACTTATCGGGGATTAGTCAAGCCAAACAATCTTGAACTCTAACTGAGTTATCTTTTATTACGGTACAGAGGTCACCCTTTTTATAGCTTTTACATTACTACTGGTATTGCTTACAGAT